GCCAAGAAGTTCTTTGTCGTATTATGAGAGAAAGATTGGAAGGAAAGGTGACAGGTTGGCACATGATTGGCTCGGTCCTTACATTACAGCTATCATCGTAAATAGTTGTGCAATGTTAAAAGACGCTTTAGGGGATGTATTAAAATTTAAAGTGAATTTAAGTCATTTAAAGCCATACAATAGAGAAAGTAACGAAAAAGAAGGCAGTTGTAAACTACTTCGCCCGTTGTGCCCAGATGTTGCAAAGGCAGCACCTCATGTAAAAGCAGTAAATAAAAGAAAAGCTAGTTTTGGTGTCGAGGAACACAATACGCCCAGTTTTAACGCAGCTGTCAGTTTGTTGCTTCTGTCAGGAAGTGATACATTAAATGAAGGTGCCGTCGTTGCTAAACGTAGAAAATGTAATAAGGAAGTGATTGAAGTAGCAAATGTACCCCCAATTCAGTAAAAAAGGTCAGGAAAGTAAACATTGGCTCAGTTCAACTAGAAAATCAGAAATTGGAATCAATTCTGGAAGGATCATGGTTGGCGAGTGATCACTTAGTCTTATGTCTGTTCTTCTTGCTCAGACTCAATCAAGTTTCACTCAGGTTGTGGTACAGTTCATTCAGCCACTCCATGTTTGTGGAAATCACTGGGTGGTTGTGTCCAGCATATTTGGAAACAAAAATGTGCAGGTATATGACACACTGTCAGGTCGTAAAGCCCCAGACGGCCTTTTTAACCAGGCTGCTGCACTTCTGCGCACTACAAAAAAGGATATAACTATCGAGTCCATAAATATGCATCGTCAAGATGGTGGAAATGACTGTGGAGTTTTTGCAATTGCAATCATGGTCTGTTTGGCCAATAGAGTAAATCCTGCACAAGACTTTTTCAGGCACTCCGAAATGCGCCAACATTTGTATAATTGTTTCAAAAACAAAACTCTCACACCTTTTCCTGTGTGTGACAGAACTCGCCGAATTCCAAAATTGGTTCATTGTTTGTGGACTGAGCCTGTATACTGTGTGTGTAGGCTTCCAGCAAAGAAAGGGGTGCCAATGGCTGAATGTATGATATGTAAGGAATGGTTCCATGCAACATGTGTTAGCATTTGCGAAAGTGTCTGGTCCAATCGAACTGAGGTTTACTCCTGTGATCAATGCATGTCAGTCAACAAGCAAATACTAGGTTCCTTAGATTGAGGTATTAAACTAAAACGTGGTCACTTATGCTAGCTTTAGCTTGCGGTATTAAACTTAAATGGTCCTTAGATTGAGGTATTAAACTAAAACGTGGTCACTTATGCTAGCTTTAGCTTGCGGTATTAAACTTAAATGGTCCTTAGATTAAATTTATTTTAGCTGTGTATTATTGTACACTATGCGTTGGTGTTCATGTTTCCATTAGTCGTAGCAGTGTGGGTAGTTGCTGAAATGTTGGCTGGGCAGTAGTGTACCCCCTACAACCCGGGACATTTGTGGCAACTACAGTGCACTGTTACAAATTTATTTCAGGTCTTTTACTTTAGTATTGTATGAATGAGTGTGCGTGCGTGTCTATATGTTCACTTAGATTATCGGAATTAGCTTAGATAAGACGTATAGCACTAGCTTATGTTTTGCATACATTGACATATAAATGCTGATGTGTGAGCTTATAATATGACAGCATTACTGCTTGATAACTTACGATTGCACATCTCTATTTTACATATACGACATTGCAGCTGAGCCAGAACCTATAATTGTCCGCTATGATGATTCTGTTTCAGACGATTCCACGACGGACGAAGAACCCGAAATGCCCCCACCGCCCCTCCAGTATGAAGTCATCGACCCCGCATCGCAGCGTGGCCGCGTCAAGCTTGCGGATGACCAAGGATTCACGTACACCTTGTACAGGTCTAATGACGTCACTACCACCTGGCGTTGCAGCGTCCGAAATAAGCGCGAAACATGCTTGGCACGCGTTAAGCAGAATAACAATGACAAGACACTCATTGCAGGTCCCCAACCACATTGTCACCAGCCTGTGCCGGGTGCCTCAACAGCTCTTAAAGTGATTGCTGACGTAAAGAGAAAGGCAACGAGGAGCATCTTCCGCTCCGCCCCAAGCATCGTCTCTCAGGCACTTGCTGAGAAATGTAATGGTGGCCCTATAGATGCACTACCCTGCATAGATCACCTGGCCCGCACTGCAAACAGAAAAAGGCAGCAGATGCGGCGTCCCCATCCCCGCAATCTTGATTTTGATATAGATAATACTTTTGTTCCAGATGGGTTCATGCGGCGCGACAACGCGAACAGTGCGTGAACGCAGACACCTGCTGTTTGCCCTTCCCCTAATGATAACCCTGCTAGCAAAGACTACCCGCTGGTACCTTGATTTGACTTTCAAAGTCGTTCGTGCCCCCTTCATACAGTTGTTTTCTGTGCATGCCTTTGTTCAGAGTGACGGCTACATCAAACAAGTTCCTCTTGCTTTTGCGCTCATGTCTGGCAAGAACCGCCGAGATTACAGTGCCGTTTTGCGAAACCTCATTGAGATTTTGCCTAATGACTATTGCTTACAGAGCATTGTTACAGATTTCGAGTGCGCTGTCTGCAAGTCTCTGGCCGAAGTTGTACCGGAGGTCCGTGTCATGGGGTGCTCAATGCTCATTCCATTGGACACAAGCAGTGTGGCGGAAAATCCAAAATCTCGGTCTTGTTCATACATACCGAGGGAATTATCGCATGTGCAGGTATCTTCGAAAAATAATGGCCCTACCACTAATTCCTCATGAGCATATACCCGAAATGTTCAATATTTTGCAGGCTCGGGCTACCACTCCTGCAGGTCAACAGGTTGTTGAGTACGTCCACGATACCTGGATCACGTCTGCGATGTGGCCACNTAACCTAAATTAGCTGAAAAAACCCTAACCCTAATCCTAGAACCTAGAGTAAACTCTCCCTTTAATCATACTCAAAAATCTGTTTCACGAAGCGACTTAAGTACATATTTAACTAATCACATAATTAGCCGACTTAAGTACGTAATTAGCCGATTTAATCATATCCAAAATGGCGGACGTTGACGCAACGCAAATCATGCTTATTCATCCCGAAAATCATCAAATTGCGAAGAAACGGAAGGCGAACTTCACAGCAAGTGAAAAATCCTATCTGGCCGACCTCGTCAAGGACAATTATAACATTCTATTCGGACAATTTTCAAGCAGCTTAACTGCAAAAATGAAGCACGAGAAATGGGAGGAGATCGCCGGAAAGATCAACGCCATAGGTGTGGGTAGCAGAACTGTGGCGGAGTTGAAAACTCTTTGGAACAATCTACAAATGAAAGCTAAGAAAGCGAATGGATTCGAAAAAAGAGAGTCAGTGAAGACAGGAGGCGGGCCAGCACCGACTCCTTTGGACGAAACCACTAATGTTATCATCAGCTTCATGAATGACAAGCCGTCATTCAGCGGCATACCCGGAGGAGTAGAAACCGGCCCTGGCTACGAAGCATATACGTATTGATGATTTGCACATGTATGTGTATGGTATAAAGTACATAATAAATATTCGTCGCCACACATCGCTGTCGATTCTAGATGATTTTGAGGACCGTGCAACGGGCATTATCCAGCAAGCTATTCCCCCAGAATAGGCTAAATAGAAGTACAACATATGCAAACTTGACGGCAAGTTTATAGTCTGTCGTGAAGAGAAACACAATTAAAGGCAACTGCAGTTTTGTGAGTACTTCGTACTTGTTCGTAATAATTAATAGATTATAGTGTATTTTCATTTGTAGGTATGAAGAGGAAGAGCCCTCGGGAGAGCTCGAGCAGTAAGTATAGGTAAGAATGAAGATGAGCCAACCCTGGTGGCCGGGGCCTCGGGAGAGCCGTCATCTTCACCTCATACATCACCACCATACCAGCGGCGGTTGGGGCGCCCTGTGCGGTACGGGACAGAGGAGTATAATGAGTGGTTTTGTGAAAGGGTATCAGGTGGGTTTTCACTTAATTGTGGTGACGGCTCTGGTCAACGGTTTTGTCGCCTACCGAAAGCAGTTTCCTGATAAAAAAACTATCTCAGATCAAATTCAGGTGAGCAGTGATAGATAGCTTGATTCCAGAGAATATAAAGCAAACAGCAAGGGACAAAACAATCAGGCACGATCGGAATCGCAGGAGACGCCTAGTCGAAAGACACTACGAGCAAATAAGAGGACAAATCCTACCATCCTGACTGCTCCGTGTGTAGTGATCGTAAAAAAAGAAGAAACGACACCAAACTAACTACTACTGTGAACAATGTGAAGTTCCAATGTATCCTGAGAAGTGCTTCAAGTTGTATCATACCCAAATTGACTACAAAGTGAAGTATGACTAATTAAGAAACACAGAAAAGTCGAGCTTTCTTGAAAATCAGCTAATTTACATAAATTAGCATAATTTATTCATGTATAACCATGGCAACAATAATTTCCTCATAATCTCTGACTAATACTCTAACAACATTTTATTTACACCAAACCTCTACCTCTTACCAGTTCTCAGATATTTAGCTTCAAAGTTGGACCTATGAAAATCTGGGTTTAACTTTAAACAGGCTCAGCGGTGCAAGTAAATGGGTGCAAAACATGGCCAGCAGCGAAAGGGTTAAACAGGGGCTTACTAAAGACGTCAGGAAGAGAGCGCCGTCTGTAAGTACACGTTGACTTAACAAATAGAGAGTAAGAAGTTAGCTGTGCAACAAGCTATCACCCAGCTAACACAAAATGTTTATATAACGTTTTTATATCGTTATTGTATGATTCGGATAAAAGTTATTTAATAATGTTTGTTCAACGTAAATATGTCTGAATTTTATAACGTTTTTGCAAACGTTTGTAAAATACGTTTTTATGTGACATTAACATAACATTATTGTAATGGGCCTTGACAACGTTAAAATAACGTTAGTTCATGTATTCTCATTAACATTTTACAGTTTGAGTCTCGATGTTGGGTCGAGCGATGACGAGAACATGGTCGTCGCTCCTCAAGTTTAAGCATATTTAACAACTAGAGAAAGTAAGAAGTGAGCTGTGCAGGTGCACGTGGTGCTGTTAACTTGTTATAGCACCTGCTATTAACATAGGTGCACGTGGTGATAGTACGAAGTTATTTGTGCAGCAGGGGCTACCCTCACCCTACCCCTACCCCAAATTTTAAGAGCGATGTTAGATCATAGGAATAGGTTCAAATGATTGTGTGGAATGTTTGAAATACTATTTTATTTCCCACTAGATTTTTATAGATTTTTATAATTATTACACAGAATAAGTAAACAATAAAAAATGAACAGTTTCTTTGTCAACTTTAATGTAGTTCTAGTTTTTTGCAATGAACCTGCGTCAACCGAGAATCTAATACACGTGATTATGATGATCACAGGTTCATCTTTTGCCTCAAATGTATAAACAATATAATAAGCATATATAGCAAATATTACTCCAGGTATATATCCATATTGTATGCAAACTTGACGGCAAGTTTATAGTCTGTCGTGAAGAGAAACACAATTAAAGGCAACTGCAGTTTTTTGAGTACTTCGTACTTGTTCGTAATAATTAATAGTGTATTTTTATTTGTAGGAATGAAGAGGAAGAGCCAACGCTGGTGGCCGGAGCCGCGGGAGAGCCTCGGGAGTCACCTCATACATCACCTCGTACATACCCACGGCGGTCGGGGGGGGGGGGCGCCCTGTGCGGTACGGGACAGTAGAATATGATGAGTGGATGTGTGAACACTTGCAGGAGCTAGCTGCGCCGGAGACTGCTCGGGAAGGTCGTGCGAAGCGGATGCGTCGGGATCGGGCTACCGAGGCGGCTCGTGTTGCAGCTGCTGCTCCTGCGGGCTTGCCCGTAGAAGTGGTGGCGGCGCCACATGCTGCCGAAGTGGCTGATGCCGACGTTCCAGTCAGGAGACGCCGGAAACGGGGCCATGGCTGGACACGCCGCAAGGCTGAACGCAGCCACCATGCAGCACAAGGAGGGGCTACCAGACCGGCTCGCCTGGATGCTCGGCCCCGTCCCGAGCGGGTTTCCCCAGATGTCCCGGTTCGCGCAGCGGGAGAGTATGGACGGCCGTCGTGCCGTTCCAGTGCTCTTAGCTGCAGGCGGCCAGGACTCTGGATGGGGCCTCGGAGGATGCCCCCCTGTGATTCCTTGATTGGAGCTGGTGGTTTAAACTGTTGTTTGGTTCTTTGCTGGCTATTCAATTATGTGCCTCGTGCTGACTGTGTAATAAGGAATAATCATAATGTAATAAGGAATAAGGAATATTAGAAGAGTTACTCGGAAAAGAGTCAGTAATTTAAAATAGAGACAAAGCCCTTTGTCTCCGGCGGGAGGCAGGTCGTAAGGAGTGTCGACTGGCCGCTAGGGAACGAAGAACAAAGGAAGGGTTTGGTCACGGTCGCGCCCAGGGGTCACGCGGACAGCCGTGACCAATGGGAGCGATGAAGTTAGAACAAAGAACGAGCGGAAGTATAAGAAACAGGGAGAGCCGAGAAACTACTAGTTCTTGATCTCGAATTTACGACACGTCACGCTACCTGTACCGTTGCGACAATCTAGAATACCCGTCAATATGTAAGTTGTCTTTTGCTATGTCGCGTAACTATTTGTATTCGTCGGCTCATTCCGTGAGCACATATTATATGTAGAGTCAGGCTGGAATAGTAAAGATGTGTTGTCTGAAATATAGTATCTAGCGTTATGTGCTTTATATACGGTTGTACACAACGGTACTCCTAAAACACTACGCATTACTACTAGACGATCACGGATAACGAGAACGTAAGAGAAACGTTATTACAATTGCATGGAATTATAATTACACGGAATGGAGAACGAAGCACCAGTGCAGAATTCATTCCATATACTGACGTTTCTACCACTTAAGCATGTCGGCCAGATTTTTAACATGTTTCAAATATTGCCGACACCTCAATATATTAATGACACGCGGGCGCACGTGTATTATGTGTTAGATAAGGAGTACGTGGCATTTGCGCAGGATAAAACACGTTACTTTTACCCTGAGCCCAACCTTGTACGCAAGTGCCTCCATGAAACCCATAACATCTGCCAGGCAGAGTCAGAAGTCTATTACGTTAGAGGGTCCAGAGACTGTTAAGTGGCATTATTTTTAAGGCACGCCGAGCACATACAAACCTATTGCCAGAGAAGGGTGAAGATGTGTGCTAACCCAAAGCTTCTAGTTACATATATTGGCAATGGTCATTGGCTTTTATCACCGGCAAAGACGTTTCGGTTGACAGTATCATGTCAGACAACCAATGACCAGCCGCCTACCATTACGGACATAGAGATAAAGTCACGTCAACTTGTATCGTTGCAATCGGGTTGTAGTGCGCATTCGGCTGACCTTACCTTGCCAACCTTTTACTTTCATGATTCATCTGTAAATCTCACCAGATCGCTGGTGAATATGTTACCTAAGGAGCTCCAGACACCGACAATATTGGCAGATCTGGCAGATTTAGCGATAAAACGAGGTAATGCTACGGATCTTATCCCACAGTCTATAGTTCCCCCTAAGCTCTATGAAACCCATGACTTAGATATCGCATATGAACATCTTAAGGATGCCATAGCTAATAGCCGAAGGATTCTCGATACTAATGAGGCAGCGCAGAACAATTTTCAGAGTGCACACATTCAGTGGCATCAGATATTGATTTATGTTGCCATCGCGGTTGTAGCGATTGTCGTATTGTACTGCTGCTGTGCGCCACCACACCTCCGACCACGCCTATGCCAATCGTTCCCTGGCACCATACCGGCTCCTACCATTATACAACCCACGGTGCAACCCCTGTTGCAACAGGTTCATGCAACAGCACCCTTCATCCCGCAGCGCTTATATCCGACGGTGCACCCTGAAGAAATGGAGCAGGAAGTAAGCCACAGGGTAGGAGCACATCCATTAGAGAATGTGCAGGATGGCGAGGAAGTTGAAATGAAAACTCTTATCTTCGTTCAAAGCGTTATCATAAGAATTAACACTATACTAAGGAGGCTCCATAGTTTATGAGTATAACGATGCACAGGCGACGTATTTCACCATGTATCTAACAAACACATATTGTATCGTGCACGAGTGAAAGCACTATGTGTTCACAAGTTCTAACCACTATATGTCCGCGCGGTAACTGCTCGGAAGATGATCTTAATGTTGCACAAGGGCACAGTCTGTGTCACACATGTATAGATAGATAGCACTGTATGCATCATTTCAGTATCCGTAGACAGGTGCTCACGCACACGTCTGCAGCGTTATATGGCGTGTTGGTTTTCCTTGTTTAGAGATGTAAGCACGATGTTGTGAAGGTGCCATGGAACCAGTACTATAGGATGCATTACCATGTATGTAGCACAGTAGAATAATCTAGACCTTTTTGAGTAACAGTCAACATGGACATGATCACCGACATCGTGGAGGCGACCAGGCACCTTCCTTACAATGATGACGAGGACTGGACAATGGAGTTGGAAGACGCCCTACGCGGTATAAGGGCGCAGGCGCGTCACACGATGATGCGGCGCAACGACATCACACCGACCACGACGACTACGCGACGGGCACACGCCGGGGACGCAGACGACGAGGCCACGGACGACGAGGCGCCCCGCAAGCGGTACTGTCCGCACCCTGTCCGCGCCGTACCCAGCAGCCACGCAGGGATCGTGCTAGCAACCGACACAAACATTGGAGGCGGCATGCGCTACGGGCCACTGTGCACACGCTGTGCACAGTGCCCCTGCCGGCGGCGCATGGACAATACGCACATAAATGCCGGGCGGCCGCTCGCCGAAGTCGTGCCGCACGCGCACAGCAACATGAGACCAGCGGCGCGTCACTACGGGGCGCCACCGGCAACGCCTCGCCTCATCTTCGCGGGAACGGCTGGGCAGGTGGCCTATACCACCTGGCGGGCATTCCTGGACGACATGCTCAGGTTCCGGAGATTGAACCCGGGATTCATGGTCGTCCACCTAAACGACCACAGACCTAGCATCAAAGTGGTGCCAATCGAGGAGGCACCACTCCCAGGCGTAGCGCTCGATCACCAAACAAGGCCAGGGGCATGGGGGGCCGTCGAGGAGGAACAGATGCTGGAAGACGAGGAGGAGGACGACGACGACGACGACGACGACTTCTGGCGACGATGAGGACGGCGACGACGACAGCGACGAGGGCGGCAGCCGGATTTTTTTGTGTGTGTTGTTTTATGGTGTTGGGTCTTTATGTAATAATTGATTACTCGAATATATAAAACAAAAAAAATTTATAAAAATATAAATAACTAAAACATAAAAAATAGAGGTAGAAATTAAGGTAATAGGTGATAAAATGTTTTAAAATGTATAATTTGTGTAACGATGGATTTGGTGACGGGAAAGAGAAATAGAAATAAAAATATAATAAATTCATAAATAAAATAAAAATGTACAAAAAAAAAGAAAAAAGAAGAAGTATTTTAGTCGACGCATCATTACACCTACGAAAGTTGCTTGCCGCATGGCTACGGCTCCCAACTTATTTTGTGGGGGGGAGTAATGTAATAATAAATAAATCATAATTTAATAAAGAATAAGCATTATTAGAAGAATGACCGGAAAAGAGTCAGTAGTGTAGCATAGAGACAAAGCCCTTCGTCTACGGCGGAAAGCAGGTAGTTACGAGGGTCGACTGGCAGCTGGGGAACAAGAACAAAGAGAGGGTTGGTCACGGTCACGCACAGGGGTCACGCGGACAGCCGTGACCAATGCGAACATGAGGTTAGAACAAGGAACGAGCAGACGTATAAGAAGACGGGAGAGCCGAGAAACGCGCCTAGTTCTTGCTCTCGAGTTTTACGACACGTCACGTCACTTGTACCGTTGTGCCAAGCTAGAATAATCATACTATGTAAGTTGACTTGTGCTATGTCGCGTAACTCTCTGTATTCGTCGGCTCATTCCGTGAGCACGTATTCGTA